AGCGGGGCGGCGCGCTCGCCCGAGGGCAGGGCGGCTTCGGGCTAGGTGTGGGTCCCCGCGGCCGCCGGGACGGGGGGCCCGGAGGAGAGGCCGGGGGCGGCGGCGGCGGGGGTGGGGTGGGGGCGGCGGCGGCGCGCTCCTCCCGCCCTGGCTGAAGTTGGAAAAGTTTCCCCAAGTTTGGGGCGGCGGGCTTTCGGGGGACCCGGGGCGGAGGGGCGCTGGGAGCAGAGCGGGGCCGGGCCGGGGTCGGGGCCGCCGCCGCCGCGCCGTGCCCGCCCGGGGCGCTGCCCCCTCCCTCCCCCGGGAGCGGCGCGGCCCCCCTCCCCCCCACCTGCTTCCTGCCTCAGCCTCCTGCCCCGATATAACGCCCTCCCCGCGCCGGGGCCCGGCCTTCGCGCTCTGCCCGCCGCCGCGGCCGCTGCTCCGCTCCGCGCCGGGCCGGCCAGGCCGGACAGCCCCCGGCCAGGGCGGCGCCCCGGTGGGCACCGCGCCCCCGTCCTCCTCATCGCCGCCCCGCGCGGGGGCGACTTCTCCGGAGGCGGGAGGCGCGCCGCCCTCGGCTGCTCGGCTCCCCACTCGGGCAGACTCCTCGGCCCTGAATGACTTTTCCTGAAGCGGACTTTTTCCCTAAATCGGGTAACCGTCCCCGCAGGGGTCGTCTCTCCCGGACGGCCCGCTCCCTGGACGCCCCCCGCGCCCCGCTCCAGTGCCCGGCAGCACCCGGGTGGGACACGTAGGCTAGCCTGGCCTCCTCCCCGGCCGCGGCCTTCGTCCTGCCCGCTCTGCCGTGCGGGGCCGGCGGGCCTGGGCCTCCAGCCGCGGAGGCCGCGGTCCTCCTCCGCCGGCGTCCAGGCCGCGGGGCCGCCTGCCCCCGGCCGGCCGAGGGGAAGGGGAGGCGGAGGGGCCGGGCGCCGCGTGCCCCTCACCCGGCGCTGTGTGTCCCCGCAGGAGAGCGTGCTGGGCAGACGATGCTGGACGCGATGGAGGCGCCCGGCCACTCGAGGCAGCTGCTGCTGCAGCTCAACAACCAGCGCACCAAGGGCTTCTTGTGCGACGTGATCATCGTGGTGCAGAACGCCCTCTTCCGCGCGCACAAGAACGTGCTGGCGGCCAGCAGCGCCTACCTCAAGTCCCTGGTGGTGCACGACAACCTGCTGAACCTGGACCATGACATGGTGAGCCCGGCCGTGTTCCGCCTGGTGCTGGACTTCATCTACACCGGCCGCCTGACGGACGGCGTGGAGGCGGCGGCGGCGGCGGCCGTGGCCCCGGGGGCCGAGCCGAGCCTGGGCGCCGTGCTGGCCGCCGCCAGCTACCTGCAGATCCCCGACCTCGTGGCCCTGTGCAAGAAGCGCCTCAAGCGCCACGGCAAGTACTGCCACCTGCGGGGCGGCGGCGGCGGCGGCGGCGGCTACGCGCCCTACGGGCGGCCCGGCCGGGGCCTGCGCGCCGCCACGCCGGTCATCCAGG